AGATTTCCTCACCAAGGGCATTTCCAAGGCAAGGCTTCAACATGACACTGGCAAGCTAGGCATGATTAACATCTATGCTCAGCTTGAGGGGGAGTGTAGAGGAGATGGGCCGAATGGCCCATAGACTGTCATTTCATGTTATGTTATGTTCCCCCTGTAATGGGCCTTATTTTGGGCCCATACTCTGTAATGTTCTGTTTTTGTATTTTCTTGCCCACTCAAGGGCCTCTCTGTAATATTTCAAAGATTAACTCTTAATAAAATGTTTAGGGTGTTAGAGGGAGGTTATGTTCGAACCTCTTACTCTCTAACCCTCATTGCCGCCAGCTCTCTCTCTTCTTCCTCTCTTGTAAGTGCAAGTTTAGGGTTTAAACTGGAGATTGAAGGTGGCAATCAACTTCTTTTGAGAAAGAACCTTTTTTTATCAATACCAACCTTAAATAAGAGCAGTTTAAACCACTTTGGAAGCAGCGGTCAACAGATTTCTGTCTCCCTTGCTCGTTTCTTTAGGGTTTTTGTCAGATGTTTGTTTTCCCTGTTATATTCTCTAGGTTTTTCAAAACCCCACGATCAGTTCTTGCTCCCAGAATTGTTCTTTGACTGTGGTTGATCCTTGGACACTTATAGTAAACTGTAAATGGTTTCTGGGTGATGATTCTTGGCTGAGAAGTGATTTCTTGGTGGTGATTCTCGACTATGAATGATTTCTGAACGAGAAGTCCTCACTGTGAGTGATTTCTGGGTGGCTGATTTCAATCAGCTAAGTTCTTTTTGCATAAAAGGTGGAATTCAAGTTTCTTTTGTTTGAAGTAGTGACTGTTAACATCTCATATAAAATGGAGAAGGCTGGAAGTGAATTAAAGATTCAAGGGGAAGGTCTTTTGGGGGCTGGAAGCATGACTGAAAGTTCCTTTCAGATTACTACTGTTAGGTTCAATGGAACCAATTACTTGGAATGGGTCCAATCAGCCATGATGGCTATTGGAGGTAGAGGCAAATTAGGCTAAAGAAGCCAGCCAAGGAAGACACATCACATGCCAAATGGGTCCAAGAGAACTATTTGGTGGTGACATGGCTGTGCAATTCAATGCAGCCTCACATTAGCCGAAAATATTTATGGGCAAAAACAGCTAAGGAAATTTGGGATAATATGAAAGAGACCTACTCCCAACCCCTTAATGTTGCTAGGGCTTATGAACTAAAGTGTGAAGTGAACAAAAGTGCAGGGAGTTGAGAATGTATCACAGACAGTGGTGGAGGCAGGTTGATTCCCGTCCTTAGCAGTCCAGGTCGATCCCAACACCCTCTAAAACTTCAGATCCAGGCACTACTCCCACTGTTGAGTTGAGCCCACTATTGCAGACACTTTGCTTACCTTGATCTCCCAATTGCAATTCATAAAGGGAAGCACCGTTGTACTTCATCTATCGCTCATTGTATCTCATAGTTTCTTTCTAATGATTGTCTCTCAGAATCCTATAGATCCTTCCTGGCATCTATTTCTACTATTCTTATACCCAGAATAGTGCAAGAATCTCTTTTGATACCTGAGTGGAAGGAAGCAATGAAAGTAGAGATGGATGCTCTTGTTAAGAACAATACATGGGAACTAGTTGACCAGCTTGAGAGGAAGAAACCTGTTGGATGCAGATGGGTGTTTACAGTGAAATATCATGTTGACGGTTCTGTAGAGAGATATAAGGCCAAATTGGTTGCAAAGGGATTCACACAAACTTGTGGCATAGACTATATGGAAACCTTTGCACCAGTTGCCAAGATGAACACTATCAGAGTCCTACTATCTATTGCTGCAAACTTCTCATGGCCACTGTTTCAGG